CCACATTTTTTTTTTCCCCTTCTCCTCCCTCCTTCTCTCTTACTCTTTTTCTTCCTATTCATTTTTTTTCTAATTTTATCCATCTACTCCTTCTTGTTTGGTGATGCTACGTAGCCATGCAGCTACACCATGGTGCTTAGTATCATTGTTAATTACTACCCATGCTACTTGGTATCCATGCTACTAAGTAGCATTGATACTCAGGAACAATGCTACTTCGAATCCGCCAATGGCTACATTCTAGTTGCATCACTTATGGGACATGTTTCGCAGGTGCGTGACTCCTTGGCACAATGGAATTGTTTTTTTTTCACAGGGTTTTTTCTAAATGGATTGCATTTTTGGTGCAAATTGTGTGATTCTCCAGCTTTTCTTTGTAGTTCTGCAGTTTGTTTTAAACATGTTGGTATTTTTTCTGGATTGCAGTTTCTATTTCCTAAGTCATTTTGGGAAATAGCCTGTATTTGCCTGCTCAAATAGACTTTGTAACAATAAACTATTTTGCTCTTCCAAAAATACACTAGTAGTCTATTTTTAGCTTAGCCTGGTCTTAGAGGTGAAAACACACCTTCCCCCCACCTAAATAAAGGGGTCATGTGACCCTGATGCGACCCTCTCGCATTATGGCGTCTCGTGGGGATTCACGCGCTCTGGCCTGGATGATGTGACCAGAGTGGGTCACTGTAGCACTTTGAACCCATGGACGCGATTGGAGAAAAGCCTAGCTGGCTCGTGTGTTTGTGTGTGTTTTCCTTTTTTTCTCTCGGGTTTCCCCCTATGTAATTAACCTGCAGAAGCTGCGGCACTACGAATAGCAGCAGTGCGAGCCATCTTTATGGAAACACTACTTAGTGACACCAGTGGTGTTTCAACATGTTTCAACAGGATTAGAAGCATGACAAAAAGTACAAGAAGTGAGGGATATGATAGCATCAGGGTGCCATCAAGTTGAACCTCCATGTTGAGAACCCTGAGGTGCCTTTTTGGCTCTCCGGGCAATGTGCCACTTCGGGGCCCCGGTGTCGCAGGCGAACCCAGCTGCTGAATGCATGTTATCTTGGTTGCCTGCCGCAACCCTGCGCCTATGTCAAACCTATTCCATGGTCCTTGTATGGGATGCTTTTAGTAGGGATTGTATGATGCAATACACTAGCGCATAGCAGAATCCTGCATAGTAGTACATTCTTGTCTTTTGCTTTTGCTCAGAATGCTTCCATGGTTTGCATTGCGTAGAGTATCAGACCTAGTTGTGGCTTGCCCGGTTCTTTCTTCTCTGGCTCGAGCCGTGTCGTAAGTGGTTGTTTTGCTCGGTTTACCTGCCAAATATTGTGCAGCACGAGTTCCTTGCTCTGAAGTCATGAGGAGCTTTTGCCTTCGTACCGTCACTCTTCTCGGCTGTGTTCTGCTTGCATTCTCCCGCCGCCTCAGCTTTAGCCTCAGTGAACCAGAAGTAAATTTCGAGTTCATGACTGATGATATGAATTACACTGGTCGAAGCGGCAGGGCCATTCACAAATTTTCAGAGTGGCTCTGGGCTGACAGGCAAGAGGGTACGGCCAAGGAGGAGATCGTGACAGGCCACACGTGCCAGAAGGCTGCGTCACCGGAGGATTCATACTATGCATCAAGCTTTTGCTACTGGGTGCCAGAAATTTTGACAGCCAGATGGCCGAAGCCAATGCTCCGTTGGCAAGGAGGCTCCTACACTTCAGGTGCAACGGTCATCGATGGTCGCAGTTTCCCAGATAGTGAGCTCAGAGGCAAGTGTATCAAGGCTTCAGTGTGCCACAACAACGGGTTTGGCTCCGATGATGAGGACGCGGTGACCCGCACGAATCCCACAGCAGAGGCGGTGCCTTTACCAAAGGGGTGCCTGGGAGAGAATGAGATCTTACGGAAGTGTGAAGCAGGGCTTCAAGAGGCTAATGCCGACCTGAAGAAACGGGTTGTGAGCTGCGGGTCAGTTAAGGAGCGACACACCGCAGCAGTGCATGAGCTCAATGCATGTCTGGACGTGCTGAGGAACCTCCCAAGCCAGATTGAGACAGGCATCCCTCGGAAAATCCGGGATCAGGAGGCTCTGATCAGGCGGAAGATTTCAGACATATCAAGCGCAGAGAGTGACAAGAAATCGGCGAAGACAACTGTGTCTTCCCGATGTCTGGGCTTCAACATTTTCAGTCCGCCATTCTGCCCCCATCACCTGATGCAGAAGGAATTCTACAAGTATCAGCGGTGCAAGAACTGCAAGAATGCACACAGCCAACTCTCCCGCGCAAAGAGAGCATTAAGCTCTGCGAAAAGTTCGCACAACCATGCTGAGTCACATCTGCGGTCTCTTCATTCTGACTTGAGGCGGGCCAAGGAACGTCTCGACAAGTGTCAGGGCGCAACTCCCGCTTTGACCGAAGCCAAGAAGGCAATGGACGATGAATGGCTGCCACAGAAAGAAGGGTGCTTCAAAGCGGATGAAGAGTACCAGGCAAAGCAAAAGAGCTTCATCCCGCAGTGTGCTCGCAGCAGGTACGATGACTCCTGCGAGAAGGCATGCATAGAGTCCCAGCGTGCCGGCAGAGGTGGTTGCGGGGTTGTGGAGGGCAACAAGTATGGAGCAGCCCATGTCCGAGGCGGCATGGAAGTCCCATGCGCGCCTCCCCAGCCTTCCTGGATTATGGGGCCAGCCCGCTATGCCAAACGCGAACCCGTGGAGGCACAGTGCAAGAGAATTTTGAGTGTCCAGCAGCCGCAGTTCGCGCAGATCATCGCAAAGGCAGGCTGGCTTTGGAGGAAGGTCTCAGCTGTATACGGCTGGGACAAGCACTTCGCTGTCTTTGAGTCTGCTGATGCGGTGCGCTCAGCTGTTCTTCGGTTCTATGAGGATGATCCATCCGCAAATGCCAACGTCTCATCCTCTGCGCCAAGCATCGTCCTTTGGGATGCCAAGGGGGTGAAGGCCAAGGAAGCCAATCACTATGGCTTCAAGAATGGCGAGTCGTGCTTCAAGCTCTACCATTTCTACGTCAATTACCGGTTCTGTGTTCCAAGTGGAGAGGCTACGGACGAGGCTTCTCAGGAACGTGACCGTGCCGACTGGATGAACCTTCTTAGCTCCAGCATGAAATTCTCGGACTGGAAGTAGGTACTCGGCGTGGGGTGCCCCGGCCAGAAAGGAGCACATCAGGAACCGTCCCAGGCAACAGTGCATTTGCTTGGCTGCAACCCTTGTTTGGTATGACATGCAGTTCTGTTGCTATACTTGGGAGAGTTGGGGGACTGGGTAGTTGCTTGAGTAAATGGCCCAGAACCCACTGACTCAGACGTCAATTATGCTTATGCTGCTCATTATGGGGGCTACTCGGTACTTGCTAATGATTTAATGCCTCGAATTTTCCAGGTACGCTGCATCGGACTTTGAGTGAAGAATTCTGTATTGACCATGGCTTGCCTGAGAGGCCTTGCACACACTGGCACACACCACCCTGCTCGTCCTCCTCCTCATCGAGCTCGGACGTCCACGGACTCAGACTTTGAGCCAAATGTTATGGTGGAGTTTATATGTCAAAAGAGAAGGAGGGATGCGAGGCTTGCTTGAGAGACATATACGGTTCTTCACAAAGGGGGATCTTCAAATACCCCCAAAGATGGCCGAAGGGCTTAAGGTAAGTGTGCATAAGTGGATTCAGGGCAGGACCCTGACGTTTCAAGTAACCGGGACCCCACAGGTAGACCCAAATCATGGGCCGACATACAGACCCCTCGACAGCAGACTCCTCGCCAAAGACGCACGGTATCGCCTGCGTTATCTCCCATCTTGGCCTAGAGCCGGAGGCTCGCGACCTCGCCTGCAGCGGAGCGTGGTCTGCCTGTGCTTGGCCTTGGGTGCTAATTTGGCTAGTTGTTGTGGCTATGACAGATGTTTACGGCTGGAAACAGCAATGGTAATTAATCATGGGTTTCATGTGGACATTTGTATTTTATTCGTCCAGACAGCTGAATGCAAACTGTGGCTCTGTCGACCCCACGATGTGGCTACGCTGCTCATTTCTCAACATGGGGTTAG